CTTACATATCCTATTCCTGAAGTTGCAAGATGCATTTAAGATTTGTGAAGCTAGGGCTGGAGAGATGGCTCAGAGGTTAAGAGTACTGTCTGCTCTTCTGGAGGACCTGAGTTCAATTTCCAGCAACCACATGGTGACTCCCAACCATCTATAATGAAATCTGGTGCCCTCTTCTGGCATGCAGGTGTACATGCAGGCAGAACACTGTATACATAACAACATAAAAAGGCTTATGAAGCTAGGCCAGAGAAAGACCTAGGGTAATTTTTATCATTAGCAGCAAAATGACATTTGGGGGTCAAACAATTCTTTGTTTGCAGAGAGAGGATTCCAGTACCATAGTTTTCTGCTGCTTTTGTTTTTATTTTTGTTTTGAGACAGTCTCTCTGGGTAGCTCTGGTCTGGAACTTGGCATATAGATTAGGCTGTCCTTGAACTCATAGAGATACACTTTCCTCTGTTTTCTGAATGCTGTGATTAAAGGCATGTGCCACCACCATTCCTGGCAAATTATTATTACTTTTTTTTTTTTTTTTGAGGGAAGATATCTTAGGGTTATCATTGCTGTGATGAAACATTATCACTAAAGCAACTTGGGGAGGAAAGAATTTATTTGGCTTACACTTCTGCATCATTGTTCATCACTGAAGGAAGTCGGGACAGGAACCTAGAGGCAGGAGCTGATGCAGAGGCTGTGGAGGGGGCTGCTTACTGGCTTGCTCTAATAGCTTGTTCAGCTGCTTGCTTATAGAGCCGAGAACCACCAGCCCAGGGATGGCCTCACCAACAATGGACTGGGTCCTTCTCCATCAATCACTAATTAAGAAAATGCTCTACAGGCCTCTCTACAGCCCAGTCTTAGGGAGGCATTTCTCAGTTCAGGTTCCCTCCTCTCAGATGACTCTAAGCTGTGTCAAGTTACATAAAATTAGGCAGCACAGAGAGTGTCTCACTATGTAGCCCTTCTGTCTCACTGTGTGATCTACTCTGGTCTTGAACTCTTTTTCATCTTGGCTTGGCCTCCAAAGTGCTTCGGTTATAGTACCACCACAGCTGGCTGCATTATAGGATTTTTTACCAGCATCCTTGATGTCTGCTTCCTACATGCTAGTAACCTCCCTTCCCAAGTGGTGATGAGAAAGAATACATATACATACTGCTAAATATCACTGGAAAATGAAGAGAATTACCTGAGTTGAGAACTATGGCTTTAGATTTAATTTTCTCCCACTGGTCTTCTTGTGTGTTCTTTCTAAAGCTCCATAAATTGTGAACAGTTGTTTAACCTGATTGGGATTGGCTATTTCTTGCCCATGTGTGAATTTAGGAAACCTTTTGGGTGGTCTCGACACATGCATGTTCTGATGAGTATTCAAGGGAGACCTGTTGTAAATAATAAAAAAGGGGGGTGGGATATATAATGTTTATTATTTGCCCTGATTATCATGGTGTCATTATTTAACCTGCTATCACAAATAATAAGACACAGATACCTGCTAGAATCTATAGTTGCCTTATTTACCTTTGGCTGGGTAGATATTTCACCTATGCTGGTTCAGTAACCTCACCATCCATCTCCCAGCCCCCACCCAGTGCCATCCACCTTGACCTTCCTCATCAGGTCAACCTTCCATCCATAATCTCATGGTACTTGTATTCTTTATCTGGGCTTTTTCATGCCATTATGTCAGCCCACATGGGTTTTTTTTTTGTTTGTTTTTGTTTTTTTTTTTTTTTTTTCTTTTTCTCCACACTAACCCATCATGGTGCCTTCCTTCCTCCTCTCTTCCCATCCCTCTTTCTCCTGTGATTGTCGTGTCCTGTCCTCTCCTCTCCAAGCCTGGGAACTTGAGCCGCTCCTACCCCATTCTGACCTGCCCAGGTATAGGCCATTCAATCAACCAATCAGGTCTGATGACTTAGGCAGGTTTCCACAACAAGGAGAGGTTTAAATGAGAATGTGCTCTTCTGAGCAGGGACAAGATTGGGGGCCAGTAATTAACATTAGACTAACAGAGACCCTCTGTGGATCTCTGCAGGTCTCCATTTGAGTGTCTCTGAAGTATACAGCCACCTTGAGCAGTTCAGCTCAGCCCAACATGTCTGTCAGGCCTCCACTCACCAGTATTTCCCATCTTATGCCTCTCCTGGCCTAAAAGCTTTCAAGGCATTAAGCTAAAATAATAAGAATCCACCTCATTTGTTTACTGTCTTGGGTGGGGGTGGGGGATTGGGGTGTGGCTGATGACCAGCACTTTGGATCTTCTTTTCATATACTTTATTTATTGTTTGATTATTTCAAATTAGAGAGTCAATTTTGTTCTGTTTTTATATCTTGGCCAGAAGTGGCAGTCCTACTGATAATGAATGAGATGAATCAATTATTAATTAAAATGGAAAGCATCCTTGAACATTTATTGACTAAATTTCATTTTATTTATTTGTATAAAATTAATATCTGATGTGTTCCTTGTTCAAAGTCTTCTGTAATTTCTGTGGTACAGCATGACTATTAAATGGACCCTAAAGCTTACAATTACTTTTAATATTCCTCTTTAATACAAGTTCTCACAGTTGGAGCTAAATATTGGTTACTGTGGCCCTGTAACTATTATGTAGTAGTGCACAATTAAAGGACGTGCACTAACCTGATGAAGCAGAGCAGTGAAATGTGTCATGCTTTTAGGGCATTCCCACAGCAGGCTCAAAGACTTCTATAACTCACATCATCTACTCGCTAAACCTTAGGCATCAAAGCCAGTTAACTTGATTGAAGTTGAAAGTACTGTTGAGTTAATGTGGGGGAGAAACGTGAAAGAAGAGAAAATCATTTTGCTCAGAGTATGAGATGAAACTGTACTAAAGAATAATGCTTCAAGGATGGGAGTGACTTGGAACTCACTTGTGGTAAGCCATTGAAGAAGGGGGAAAGTAGCAGAATAGAGATAAAGTAGAGAATTTTTACTTTGTTGTGGATGAGGTACTACTTGGTAACTGCTGCTGAGTTTATAGCATGTTTTGTTAGGTATCTAAGTATGATTTATTCGTCGTACCTGTAGGGAAAGGAAGATACAAATGTAGCAGAAAGGGTGAAATCATCTAGCTATTTATGTGAACTTGAACATCACAAAACCATAGTTGAATGGAATTTCACATATGCTGTATGTAACTTTGCAGCAGACTTAAAGTACAAACTGTTGATGGGTAGGATGTTAGTTTTCTACAGCTGGGGGTTGATAATGAAATACACTTTAAGAGTTTCAAAAACGAGGTTTACTGTTGTTAGTATCAAGACAAAATACTTAATGATGGACATTTTCATCATTGGGTGAATTTTATCATGTCTATTCCTTATTACCTGAACATTTTTTGATGATATGAGTGAGTTTTTTAGTTAAAATGTCTGCTTTTGTTCAGTGATGATAAATCTTTAGACAAATGTTTGTGTGGCTATGGAAGACTGTAACATCACTGGGCTTTTACTTTGTTTACCTAAAGAAGCCAGGACGTTTTTCTTACTCCAGAATGTGTGTCATAGAGCCACATTAAATGTTAAATCAGGAGATCCGAGGGTCATCTGGATAGGAGGGGAGAAAGAGGATGCTCTTGACAAAACCTTTGTTCTGAAAGATACTCATTTGTACTGATGTATTGTTTTGCTTTTTAAAGCAAGCCCTTTTTCAAACACTATAACTTAACAGACTTTCACAAAAGAAATTGTTCCTCAGAACATTTTATTAAAACTTTTTTTTTTTTTTTTTAGAGCTAGATACTCACTGTATCATTGTGGCTTTAAAAAAAATACCTGTCCTCTTTTTAAACATTACTCAGAAGGAAGTATGGTGAGCTATTTGAAATCTAGAAAAGCCACCAGCTTTAATAGTTACGGAAGTAGACCCATGAGAGGTAGCATATAGGCCTTTGATTCCTATAATCTGATTGAAATAGACTCAGGCTTTACAAAAGAAAAAGAAGATAGTTGAGTAAGATCAAAGCAGCAAAAATTATCAGTGCTTTTAAAAACAGTGCACTAAGTAGCCTTTTATAACTATAATGTGGGTTTTGTTTCATATTCATAAGTATATTGATATGGCAGTTTTCTTTTAAAACTTTGACCACTGATTCTTAGAAGGCCTCTCCAGCTCTACAGTGGACTTTTAAAAACTAGAAAAGCCAGGTGGTGGGGCAGTGGAGGAGGCGGTGGCTCATACCTGTGATCCCAGCACTCAGCAGGCAGAGGCAGGAGGAGCTCTATGCGTTTGAGGACAGCCTGGCTCACCGAGTTAGTTCCAAGACAGCCAGAGCTACACAGAGAAACCCTGCCTTGAAAAAACAAAACAAAACAAAAAGGACTAAGAAACTGCTCAAGCTCACAGCTGTTTCAAATCTTATATCTGTTGGATGAATCATTTCATTTATAGCAGATAGAACTGTTCAAATCTAAAGTTTTCTGGAATTACACTATCTATAATGTATCTGTTCTTTTCCTCCTCAAGTGGAGTTTTTTTCCATGAATATGACAATTTCAGAGGTTTATTTTTTCCATGAATATGACAATTTCAGAGGTTTATTTTTTCTCATGTATCTTTTATAGATTTCATTTTATGAAAAGTATTAGAATGGGATTTTTTCCCCCTTTGTTGTTTTCAATAGTGATTTTTTAAAGTAATCATGGTTGACATACTGTGGCAACGTCATTTGTAAAATACCTTTTGTAAACTGTTAAAGATGGGGTTGTAGCTCAGGGTAGATCACTGGCCTTATTCTGTGTGAGTCCTGGGTTCAGCAGCTGTCCTATACAAAACCAAAACATTTTCCATCAGCCTCATAGAATCACTAGAATGAGAATCTGTCGGAACGACTCCTTACTGAATAACGTTTGTTTCTTTGACTGTGGATGCCATGTGCATTTGGATGTATGTGCATTTGCATTTGGCCTTTAATGAAAATGTTGCACCACATTCAAGTTTTTGTTTTGTTTTCCTGTTTCCCCTTGACAGGAAGTGGAGGAAGAAATGGCAGGCCCTAGTCAACTTTGCATTCGCCGCTGGACTACCAAGCATGTAGCTGTGTGGCTGAAGGATGAAGGGTTTTTTGAATATGTGGACATTTTATGCAACAAGCACCGACTTGATGGAATCACATTGCTCACACTAACTGAATATGATCTCCGCTCCCCTCCTCTGGAAATCAAAGTCCTAGGAGACATCAAAAGATTAATGCTCTCAGTCCGAAAATTGCAGAAAATACATACTGATGTTTTGGAGGAGATGGGCTACAACAGTGACAGTCCTATGAGTCCCATGACTCCATTCATCAGTGCTCTTCAGAGTGCAGACTGGCTGTGTAATGGAGAGCCCACACATGACTGCGATGGACCCATCACTGACTTAAATCCTGATCAGTACCAGTACATGAATGGCAAAAACAAACATTCTGTTCGGAGACTGGACCCCGAGTACTGGAAGACCATACTGAGTTGTGTCTATGTTTTTATCGTGTTCGGGTTTACGTCTTTCATCATGGTTATTGTCCATGAGCGAGTGCCTGACATGCAGACCTATCCTCCACTCCCAGATATATTCTTAGACAGGTAAATTTTGTTCCTAGATGCTGAGTTTATAGGAGGGTTCTGGACTCACAGCAGTGGTAATATGTGGTTTGATTACGTTGTGATTATAGCTGCCTTTTGTACTTCATTTGCCTTGTCTGGTACCATCAAAGGATATGTTTTGCCAAGCTTGGTGGCACATACCTGTATTCTGGAAACTGAGGTAGGTAGACACAAGGTTCAGATTCTGTGCAGAGTGTAAGGGCTGTTATATCAGGAGGATGTTTGTAATAGTCCTAGCTGCCTTTTTTTTTTTAAGTTATATTAATTGAATCTATTTGCAATAGTACAAATTAATTCAGGGCTTGATTCTGTTTTTATTATGTACAGAATAAAACTAAGTAAATATATATTAAGTAAAAAAGAAATATCTTTGATTATAGAAAACAAAAAAACAACAAAAGTAAGGTTTCTCCTTTAGTGATCGTATTCTCCATGGCTGGTGACTGAGCCCAGGGCTGAGTTCATGTTGGGCACCAAGCCACATCTGCAGCTATCTGGTGGGAACATCAAAAAAAGTGAGCCCGTCTGTTAAAGTAATGCGGTTCTGTTAGTGCGCAGCCTCCTCATCTCCTCAGTATACTCAGTAAGCTCTTCTTCCTGTTTAAAAAAAGAAAAAGAATGGCAGTAGTGGCTTTAAAAGCATTAAGGAAAATAATCTCTGACTGTAGTAAACAGACAGGAAATAATAGATAAGAAGTGAAGCTGTCTGCCTGCATCCTTCAGTGTGCAGTTGATGCAGGCAAGCTATGGTGAATGCTAAAATCTATTTGCTGGGAAGCTACTGAGCAGCAGAATAGTCACATGATTGAAATTTTGTCTTTCATGATAATTATTTGCTGAGGAAAGCCGTACTTTTACAGTGCTGGGACCTTACAAAGGTCATCGTTCACCACATGGACAGGTCTACCATCACAGGGGGACAGACTGACAGTGTGCACTGGATGTGATGTTCAAAGCATCACCTTGATGATACTCTGATAATCTTGCTCCTCAGAAAATTTTAACATAAATCTGATTACGGATAGTCAGATACAAAAAAAGGAGCATTCAGCTGATCTAGATTCTCCAGAAATGTCAGTGTGAAAACAAAACCCAGGGGGAATCATGAGGGAAATTGAAGGGACAGGCATGTTAATTGGATCCTAATCAAGAAAATTTAGGTACAGATGATGTATTGAGGCTAGTTAGAAAGTGTGACTGTGAGTTACATATTAGCCGGTGCCAGAGTCAGTGCTGCAGTCCTCAGGGAGCAGCGGTCTGAAGGGCCATCCTTGGTCTGAGATGAGTGGGGGAGGTTTATCTGTTCACTTTCATTTGGAGGACTCTAAAATGAAATGAAGTGAATATAGCAAATCAGTAAATATAAACAACCGAATGATGTAAGTGATGAAGAGTATTAAGTACTTATTCTTGCAAGTTTTTCAGAAGGATCGGGATAATTCGTGGTAGTGGAGGGAACAGGAATTGGAGACAGATCTTTGCTGTAGGTCAGTGAAGAATTATAAAGAAGTGGGCTTGGAGCTGGACCACAGGGCTTTAGTTTGTTTGGATGAGGCTGTGTTGTAGCATGGTGTACTGCCTCCAGGGATGAGCTGGAGTTTGTTTGTTTGTTTGTTTTTCACATATTCCTATGTGTGCCTAAAGCAGAGGATTTTTGAAATTGAGGTTATGAGGAGAATTTTGGTAATGACAAGGTTTGATTTGTAACCATCAGTGTAGGTTGCTATGATAGGGCAAAGGGCAAGACCATAGGAAGAGAAATAAAAATAGAAGGGAACAAGAATGCTATTATATACCATTACAACAGAAGGCATAATGGGAGAGAGGGAGGAAGCAGGAGGGAGCAAGGAGAGAGCATCACTGAGTACATGAAAGCTGTTTAAAAAGAGGTTTTTGTTAGATCTAGAAAATTATAAGAATTTTCACAAGTTTCATCGTAACTTTTGTATGAATGTAAGTTTATATTGAATAAAAGCTAAAATAACCATTCTTAAACAAAATTATTAAATGGTGAGTAAGAGTTGGGCAATGGTAGCACACACCTGTAATCCCAGCTCTTGGGAGACAGAGGCAGCTGGATCTCTATGAGTTCGGGGCCAGCCTGGTCTACAGAGTGAGTTTCAGGACAGCCAAGGCTACACAGAGAATCCCTGTCTCAAAAAACAAAAAAACAAAGAAACAAACAAAAAGTGGGTAAGAGGCACATACAAAGAAAAAAGGGTGTATATGTGAGTGTGTGGAATGTGGGTGTGTTACTCAAAGATTTCATGTGAGATGAAATAGAGTAAAACTGCTTCTGAGGAGCAGTAATTAGGTTTAGTTTTGAGAAGGAAGTAGATTTATTTATTTTTTTTAAGATTTACTTTTATCCTGAGTATGGAAAATTATTTAAACGTGTGTGTGTGTGTGTCTGTGTATATGTATTTATTTTTGTTGGGAGCCGGGTCTCACTATATAGTCCTTGAACTCTTTTTTAAGTAATTAATTGATACAGGCGCTCTGCCTGTATGTCTTCTGTGAGAGGGTACTAGATCTCCTGGAATTGGAGTTACAAACAGTTGTGAGCTGCCTTGTGGTTGCTGGGAAGTGAATTTAGGACCTTAGAAAGAACAGCCAGTACTCTTAACCTCTGAGCCAACTTTTTTTTTTTTTACTTTGTTTTATTTTTTTAATATTTTAAAAAAAATATTTTTATGAATATGAGTGCTCTATCTTCATGGACAGCTGCATGCCAGAAGAATGATCACATTATAGATGGTTGTGAGCCACCATGTAGTTGCTGGGAATTGAACTCAGGACCTCTGGAAGAGCAGACAGTGCTCTTAACCTCTGAGCCATCCCCAGCCCCCTTAATATAATTTTTTATTTATTATAATTTTATTTTTACAATTTATCCTAGCTGTAGCCCCACTCTTGTTCCCTCCCATTCCCACCCTCCCTCCTTCATTTCCTTCCATGCCCTTTCCCTAGTCCATAGTGGAGGACCTCCTCCACTTTCATCTGACCCTTAGCCTATCAGGTCTCATCAGGACTGTCTTCCTCTGTGGCCTGGTCAGGCTGTCCCCTGTCAGGGGGAGGTAATCAAAGAGCCAGCCACTGAGTTCATGTCAGAGACAGCCCCTGCTCCCCTTATTAGGGAACCCATTTGGAGACTGAGCTGCCATCAGCTACATCTGTGCAGAGGTTATAGGTTATCCCCATGCATGGACCTTGGTTGAAGTATCAGTGTCAGGAAAGACCCCTAGGCCCAGATTTTTTGGTTCTGTTGGTCTCCTTGTGGAGCTCCAGACTCTTCCAGGTCTTTCTATCTCCTCCTTCTTTCATAAGATTCCCTGCACTCTACCCAGAGTTTGGCTGTGTATCCACTTTAATACCCTGCTGGGTAGAGTCTTTCAGAGCTCTTTGTGGTAGGCTCCCATCTTGTTCCTTTTTTTCACTTTCTTCCAATGTCTATCCCATTTGCCTTTCTGAATGAAGATTGAGCATCTTACCCAGGGTTCTCCTTGCTTAGCTTCTTTAGATGTATAGATTTTAGTTTGATTATCCTATATTATATGTCTAATATCCACTTATAAGTGAGTATATACCATGTGTGTTTTTCTGCTTCTGAGCCATCTCTTAAGACCCTGTCTTTGAACTCTTTCAAGACAGGGTTTCTCTGTGTAGCTCTGGCTGTTCTGGAACTTGCTCTATAGACCAGATTCCCCTCAAACTCAGCAATCTACTGCCTCTGCCTTCTGAGTACTGGGAACAAAGGTGTTTGCTACCATGCCTGGCTTCTATGTATATTATTTTTAAAGTTCTTATTTTATGGGTGTTACATCACATGCATTTGAGTCTAGCAAATCAAACATTTGCTGATAATATATCAGAAACTTATTCTTAAATAATTCTTTTGGCATATATAAAATTTTACTATTAAAGTTGAGAAGGCAAATGTACATAATAATATGTTGCTAAATATTTGATACTTGAGGACTCTGTGTTTTTCAGAGTTAACCCCTATTTTTAATTTTTTTTTATAGTCCTCAATTCTGAGAATACCACTTCACATAAATTCGTAATACAAAATGGCAGGTATTTAGGACCATTTAGAAATTGTTGGAAGTGCTATTGTAATCCAGAGCCAAAAATCATGTAATAATTTTTTGTTGGGTTTTTGTTTTTTTGAGACAAAGTTTCTCTGGGTAGCCCTGGCAGTCCTGGACCTCTCTCTGTAGACCAGGCTGCCCTTGATCTCAGAGATTCACCTGCCTGTGCCTCCCAAGTGCTGGGATTAAAGGTGTGTACCACTGCTACCCAGCAATAGCAGTTTTTAAAATCAGCCATCACAAAACAGTCCAAGAGTATGATAACTTGTTGTTTATATGCTAAGAAGTATCAAATAGAAAAATTGATGATTACATCTCTTTTTATAATTAAAGCATTGCTTTTTATCAGAGCAGAGGACCTGCATATGAAAGAGACTATGATTCATAACATATAGCAGTCTTTGAATCTGAGCTGAGGTGTTACAGGCAGCATTCACTGGCATTGTGTGAGTGTTCAGAAATAAGACTACATTAAAATTGTGCAATGTGGTGTGGGTGAGATGGGCACTACCAGAAACACCTCAGACTCATTACATGTTTTTTTTGCTTGTGCCCAGTTCAGAAACCTTTTTCTGTAGTCATATTTTTCCTTTTTCTTTTTTTGTTGTCTGTTTGCAGGCTCCTTTCCTCATTCAGTCCTATAACCTACAGTTTAAGAAGTTGGGTGCTGGGCTGGAGAGATGGCTCAGAAGGTTCAGAGTGTGTACTGGTACTGTTCTTACAGAGGACCTGCACCCACTCCAGCAGCTCACAATTGCTAGAACTCAAACTCCAAGGGATCTGAGAACTTCTAGTTTTCTCAACCACCTGTGTTCACATGTACATACATATGCACACACAATAGACATAATTAAAAATAAAATTATTTAAAAAGAAGTTGAATGCTATAGTCTGGAAGAGAAGGGTTGTTATTTATTTACAGAGAACTACTACTGTAATTCAGTGACAGCTAGTAGGTTCTGATGAGTGGAATGATTTTTGAAACAGATTTTCAATTCCCTAGATTTTCCAGATATCATCTTCTGAAAGAAATAAAGTTCTACGGAGCAGTTCTGAGGTTGCTATTAGAACAGTATTGTATTGAAAAGGGTGCATGTATCTACTCATCTTCAGTTTCATAAAGAGCTGTTTTCTGTTGCAGTGTTCCTAGGATCCCATGGGCCTTCTCCATGACTGAAGTGTGTGGTATGATTCTGTGCTACATCTGGATCTTGGTTCTCCTCCTACACAAGCACAGGTATCACTCGCTGATTCCTGAAGAGAGGAAATCTCTGACTCTGATGTTGATTGTCAAGCCTGGTCCTTCCCTCTGCATTTCCCTGGAAGAGTTCCCTCTGCATAGTGGGACAGAGCTTTTGACAAAGGAAAACTAGGGTTTAGTTAAAGAACATCGTAAGACCAAAATTTTTTAGTAATATTATGAATGCATTTTATAGGGAAAGAGATAGTCAGCCTTGGGTGGATGCTTGCTCGTCTACCCTCCTCTTCCTCTCTTCTTCTTTAGAAACAAAGCAGAAGTGCCTCTTCAATAGATAGATAGATAGAAATGCTTCTGAGGATGGTGTTTGGTTATAAGTGTTTGAATAGAGGAGGGAAAACCCATTAAAAAAGGTTATCTTCATGCTCTACACATCTAAGACGGTATAGAAATTTGCTAAATGGAGAGGATGCTTCTTGACGGTTTCACCCAGAAATAACCAAGGGAAGACATTTTTTTTTTTTTTTTAATATAAATAAAGGCAGCAAGGAAGGCCTAAGTATAGGAAGGCCCTTTTCTACATTAATGAGTCTTGCTTGATGTTAAAAAAAGAAAAAATAGGAAAGAAAACAAGGCTTAGTGGTAAGGAAAACATTAAAGATTGTCTTGTGGTTAGCTGCTGCCCATTGTTTTTAGAACCCTGGAGATGAATGATGGTGTTGTCTTGCAACTTGGGGACCTCTCTCCTCACCAGGAAGCTCTGTGGTAGCCACATACATCCTGAGCTACAGTTATTTTAGCACATTGAAGGTGAAAAAAAGGTTGATGACTGCTATTTTTTGTCACATTTTGAGGCCATAAAGAACTCATTTCTCACTGTGTTTTGTATACACCTATTTTAAGATGAAATGGTTTAAAAGTATATATATCATTGCTTTCCAGTTAGCTTTGCCTCACAGGACCCTGTGCGCAAAGGGTCTGTCGACTCTTGAAAATAAAAACAAATTTAACCTTAAAAGAAACCTTGGTAGACTCGCTGAAGCATAGTGGTGACTAGCAGATCCAAGCAGCTCCTTAGTTAAAGGAGACACATCCAGGACATAGTGTTTACCTAGCCGAAGAAGAGTCTCAGATGTCGTCTTTGTGTCACTTTCATTGGGTCCTCTGAAAGGTTGTTGAAATGCAGGGTCCTAAGCTCCATCCAGATGTGCACACTGAAGATTGAAGCACACCTGTCTTATGTTCAGTATCATTTTTGAGGAAAAGTCCCCTAAACACTTAGTCTGTTTAGACTTAGGGCATTTAAAGAAATAATAATATAAATGATGTCACAGTTTATAATTACTCAAATTATGCTTATTCAAAGTTCCCGTTTTAGATTATACTTAACATAAAACTTAGTATTATTTTTAAGAACTTAGTATTTCATAGCTTAAGTTAGGAACAATTTAGAATGACAGTCCTATAGCCACTCTTATGAACCAGTTTAGTGTGTTAATAAACAAAAGTAGAATCTCAGGTGATTAACTTTACCCTCCTATAAACACTGTAAGGGGTTGGCAAGATGACTTAGTGGTAAAAAGCACTTGCTTCTCTTCATAGCACCAAAGTTCAGTTCCCAGTGCCCACATTGACTAGCTCTCAGTTGCCTGAACTCCAGTTCCCCCAAGGGTACCTACACTTCCATGCACACACCCACAGGCAAACACACATTGTAATTAAAAGCAATAAAAATAAATCTTTAAAATTGCTTGCATAATCCCAGCACTTGGGAGGCAGAAGCAGGTAGATCTCTATGAGTTTGAAGCCAGCCTGGTCTACAGAGTGAGTTCCAGGACAACCAAGGCCACACAGAGAAATCCTGTCTCAGAAACACACACACACACACACACACACACACACACAAGAATTCAAACTGAGACCCAAAAGTCTGGCCACACCTGCCACCGTTCTGTCTCACAGGGAGTACTGGGTAGATTGCAAGCAACGGTGCTAATAGCAAGCTTCCCATTATTACTTCTGTCTTGAAAGTCCCACTTTTGTGTGGTACATTTTATACTGAAAGTGCTCTTTCTGATCTGCACTTGCTGCATGTGGCTATTGTAATCTCAATTAGTGAATATTAACTTGAAAGATTTTACATGAGCCTCGTTTTGGGTGCTCAACAGCCACATGCAGCTGGCTACATGGTTCATAGAACATCCCCATCACTGCAGAATTGTATTGGATAATAACATTTTAGATGGTCGTCTAAGAGTCCTGTCCTCGGAATTAGAGTTAAACATAGTGATACATATATAATGAAACCCATTGCTTTGAATACAAGCTTAATAATGAAACCACATACACATATGCATATCCCAAATGCTTTATAGAGGTGTAATTTAAATGTAATGATTTTTTCTCCCTTTAAATTTACAGGTCTATAGTTAGTAAGCAGCTTTTGAACAAACAGCACCACAGTCTAGATTTTAGAACACTAGCTGAACGTTCCCTCTTGTCCTTTCATTATTAATTCCAATCCCAGCTCCAGCCCCAGGCAAACACTGACCTATTTTTGTCTCTATGGTTTTCCCTTAAATACAGAACTTGTAAGTGGAGGGAAGGATTTCTGCCTTAAAGACTGGTGGTTTTCCCTTGCTTTCTCTCCAGGAAAGTGTTTGATGCCTCAGAGGGTTTGGAGCATCTCTGATTTCTGCCTTGCTCACTCTGTTCACAGGTCAATTCTTCTGCGAAGGCTCTGTAGTCTGATGGGCACTGTGTTCTTGCTTCGCTGCTTTACCATGTTTGTGACTTCCCTCTCCGTTCCAGGACAGCACCTGCAGTGCACTGGAAAGGTAGCCTGCTACCTTCTATTTATTCTTTCTTGTTCTTGTTGGATTAATGACACAGTATATGCAGGAGTACCAAGATCTTGCTCTTTGTGTTAAAATGTGCTTTTTTTAAATATGCAAATCGGTGGTCAACATCTAGAAATAACTGGGTGAGGTAACTTTAAGCTACATTCATCTCCCTGTGATTTCCATCCATGCTTTGTGACTATGGGAAAAAAAAAATATTTTGACTGTCTTTTTCTGCTACTGTTTTACTTTCTTACCACACTGAGCATCTTTTTTTCAATGTTTTTATTAGCATATATTAATTATGCACCATAATGGGTTTCATTATTACACCCTCATACATATTCACAAAGCATGTGGATCATATCCACCCTTGAGATCTCAGCATCTTTAGATCTTCATATGTTGTGCTCTGGTCTCTTCATTGCTTTTATTACTCCTTTTCTTTAAACATTGCAGTTGAAGCATTTTCCAGTACTCTGAAAACTTTCAAGATGTATGAAATATTGATGAAATTTTTTCCTTTGGTTTTGGTGTGTGCTTTATAGCTTTCTGTTTTGTTGTAGTGTAGATATATCCTTTCTTCTGATTAAACAAAGAGAACAAATTATGCTGTTTTTAGGGAACAAAAGAGGGTTCTAAATTGTAGTTGTTTTAACTTTAAGATCTAGGATAAAGCCGGGCGGTGGTGGTGCAAGCCTTTAATCCAGCACTCAGAAGGCAGAAGCAGGCGAATCTCTTGTGAGTTTGAGGACAGCCTGGTCTCCAGAGTGAGTTGCAGAGCAGCCAAGCCTATGCAGAGAAACCTTGTTCCCCCACCCCCCAAAAAAAATCTGGGATAAGGTCTGCCTTTTAAATTTAAGCTCAGTGGTAGAGTGCTTGCCTGGTGTGCACAGGATCCAGGATTTAGACCCCAGCACCCACCTCTCACCTAACTAATTAAAAACAAATCAGCAAAATAATTTTAAAGGTTGAGGCTCTCAGGCTGCCGTAGTGCCACATGCCTTAATTCCAGCGCTTGTGAGGCTGAGGCACAGGCGTATCTCTGAATTTGAGGTCAGCCTGTCTCCATACTGAGTTCCAGGACAGCCAGGGCTATGTAGAAACCAGTAGGATTTGCTGAAGGAGGCGGAGGCAGGAGGATCACAAGTTTGAGGCCAGCTTGGACTACAGATTTTAAAGTTGGGCAGTCCTGATGAGACCTGATAGGCTAAGGTCAAATAGAAGGAGAGGAGGACCTCCCCTATCAGTGAACTAGGGGAGGGACATAGGGGGAGAAGACAGAGGGATACAAATTGAATAAATTGTAATAAATGATTAAAAAAAAAAAAAAGCTGGGCAGTGGTGGTGCATCCCTTTAATACCAGCACTTAGGAGTCAGAGGCAGGTGGATCTCTGAGTTTGAGGCCAGCCTGGTCTACACAGTGAGTTCCAGGACAGCTAGAAATACACGGAGAAATCCTGTCTCAAAAACCAAACACAACAAAACAAAAGAGAAAGACCCTGTCTAAAAGAAACAAAAGTTGAAGATCTCACCTGTCCTTGATACACAAAATTGTTGTGAATGGTTTTAAATTTGGATAAAAAAAATTATTAATCTACTTTTTCAGGCAGGGGACTCAATGGCTACATTAATACCTTTGTTGTTATTTTGTTATTTGTAGGTGCCATTGCCTGTACTGCAGTGGTAGAAATAGCTGACATGCCAGTTAGGAAAGGAAGATTAAGCACCCAAAGGAGATGAAGAGCTTTAAAAATACTGCCCTTGAGACAAAGGGCAGCAAAGCCCTGCAGGTATTAGGCATGTGAGACTGAGCAATGAGAAGGGGCCCAGTGCAATTTCAGACTTATCCAAAACAAATATTTTTAAGGTTAAAAAGCTCTGTGGCAGTTCATGGTTTTCAATATAGAAAAAAAAAAAAACTTTTTTGTTTGTTTGTTTGGGTTTTTGTTTTTGTTTGGATTTTTTTTTTTTTTTAAACAGGATTTCTCTGTATACTTCTAGCTTTTCCTGGAACTCACTGTGTAGACTAGGCTGTCCTTGACCTCGGAGATCTGCCTGCGTCTGCCTTTCAATTACTGGGACTACCACCTGGCAGAAAAACATTTTTTATTTTGGAGTTGTACAAGTTTCTTCTAAGAACTCAAATTACATATAAATGTTTGTTAAAAAGCAAAATCTCATAGACCCCTTTACATCCCATCCTACAAGTAAAACAGTTAACAGTTGTGTCTAGTTGCACAGGTCTGATTTGAAGTTTCTTCTCTCTCCTTCCTCCCTTCCATCCTTCCTTCCTTGGAGTCATAGTCTTACTATGCAGCTCTAAATGGCCTAGAACTCACAGAAATCCTCCTGATTCTGTCTCAACTGCTAGAATTAAAAAGATATTATGTATCATGCCCTGCAACATGAAAACATGAACCGTGTGTGTGTGTGTTAAAGATTTTTTTTTTTTTTTACTTACGTCCATGTGTCCATGTCTGGATGACTAGGGTCCTTTGAAAGAACAGTGCATATTCTTCACCCCAGAGTCATCTCTCCAGCCTGGTACTAGAGTTTTAAGGCTAAAGATCCAACTCCCAGAGTCCCAGCAGCTAAGCTGAGCCACCCATCCCAGTGTACCAGTTAAAGGGATAGAAATGGTAGAAGACAGAGAGAGTCGGTCCTTGTGGCCGCTTTGGGAAGAGGAACAGATACAGGGCTCCATTGACCCCCAAAAGCAATCATAGGGCACTGATACGAACTTTAGGTTTAAACAGAGGAGAAATTGGGGTAAAAGTGAGAAGCGTGCATAATAAGGCCTCCTTGGTCTAAGTGTGATCTGGTTGGTGATTGCCTCAGTTCTTGTTATTGCTTGAGGAGATAAGCCAGTTTCCATGAGGTGGCTTGTTTGAGGATGACCTCATGCTGAGGTAACCTGTCAAGTGAGGGTCCAGCGTGACTGCAAATTTAGGACAATAGGTTTGAAAGGGAGTTGGGGACAGCTGACAGTAAGGCAACTCAGTTTTCATCCTTATCTTTCTTTGTACTTTCATTAATAAATTGAGTAGAAGCCATGATTACTATGGCTTTGAGCAGAGTTAAGCATGTGACTTACCCATAGTAAATGAGATAGGTGTGCAGTGAAGGCAGAGCTGCCAGGCTTTTAGCCTACTCTGGGTTTCCTTGTGGCAGCTAAGGAGTCCTTGACTTTGATTGAGAATTCTCTGACTGTTTTAGAACAGCTGCATGGCTCAGAGGTGTGTGCTGTAGCTGAGTCACAGTGCCCAAGAGCATCCTTTGGCAGTGGTAACAATTCTGCATTTGATTGCAGGTGGAAATGACTATGAACCAACATCCTACTTCATTCACTTTCTCGCCCACACCATTTATTATCAATCTTGAGTCATCGCCAGCTAGTTAATGAAAGACAATAGCTAATGTTTTATGGTCTTCTTCCTTTTTTTAATATATGAATCTAATCTCCTAATATTGTTTCTGTATGTAATTTGAAGTGAGAGTAAAAAAAAATTCCCCCAGACAGAATGCTAATTGATTAGCAAATTCAAACTAAACTATAAAGAAACTGTAGTGAAGTTGTGTTTTCCCTCTGAAAGTTTGATAATTTTACTCTTAATAGATTAACAGAAGAAAGGCATATGAATTTACTAATACAAAGTAGGAGACTATGCCAATGTGTTGACATTTTATGTCTTTCCTTATATAAAGGAACAAGGGACATGGGAAGTGTGGGTTTAGTGATACAAACCTTGGCAAGCTCAGGCGAGGAACTGCTTGGTTATTAATGACAGTCTTGTTGTCTAGACATGATTTCCCAGGTAACAGCAAGTGGACACCTATGTCATCTCTGTCTGGGCTAGGAGGTGTTAGACCCCCAATCTCTGCTTCCCGAAAAAAGTCATTCCCAGGCAGGTCTGAAGAGCTCAACACTTTGTATTTGAATCTGTTGCTTAATCTACTAATTATTTTTATTCAAGAAGACAGTTTTAAAGCTATTACCAAGTGCAGTTTTCTGAATAACTAGATCCAAAGATATCAAAGGAGTAATGTGAGTGGAAGATTTTGCTTTCATGTGAAGCTTGTTATATGGACAAGAGACTTTCCTGCCCCTGAGAAGGCTTATCAGAACAGCCACTTAAGAGAAGGCTGGATCTTTGTGCACACAGCTACATCTTGTGCTACAAGAACAAATTAGATGTCGCTTTCTGGTGTGGACAGCCTCTTTCTGTCTCCAGTGACTTTTCTTTGCTAATTAGTTAATGTATGGATATTTCCATCCACATCTGCCCTAAATGCTGCAAATTGCTTTGAAGTATAATGTAGCATGCCTGTTGACCTACATTATTTATAGCAGCCTTAAAAGTAGAGCATTCAGGAGTTCCCCATCAGAAGCTCTGTCACAGGGTCCTTGTGTTCCCACTATCCACAGCTGGCCGAGGGGGTGAGGTGGTTTCTTTTGGGGAGCCCCTGAGTGGAAACCAATCTGTGGAGTATTGTGAGTGGGCCCAACATAGTGTCTGGGTGTTGATGTATTTCCCTAAAGTTGTTTCCAGGAAAGATGGAGAAAGTCTGTGTCTGTTTTCAAGTCCTGCTTTCCAGTGCCCTGCTCCTCAGCTCATGGATCACTCAAAGAACTTCAGAAAGATATCAGTGCAATACTTGTAACTTGTGTAAATAGCCCTGTCTTTCTGAGTGGTGTCATTTCTACATTTGATATGCTGGTATTTCTGTAGGATGTACATAGTTTAGGGGATTTTTGTTTTTTTAGACAAGTCAAACATGTCTTTTTTTATTTACTGCCTGAAAATGATCATTTGAAGAAAAATAAATACATTTTCAACCATGAAAAAAAAAAAGTAGAGCATTAGGGGGGATAACAACCAGCAGTGAAGTCCATTACAGTGAGACATAGACATTTCATCGTGATAAATTAATGGCTTAAAACTAAGGAACCAAGACAGAACCAAGAATATGCCTATTTTTGAAACTTAGCAACACAAAGCTAATTTGCATATCTTGTGCAGACAGCTTCCTGTTCGTTCTTCTCTGTGTCAGTGTGGCTTTTAGAGGATGTATGAGAGAGATAGAATGGGAAAGGATGAAAAGACTTGATACTGAGTACTGATTGCTTGAGACTAGCATTACTTGTTCCCTGTCCTTTGTTAAGATATCATCTAGCCTGGCAGTGATGGCATATGCCTTTAATCCCAGCACTCAGAGGCCAAGGCGGGCAGATCTGTGTGAGTTGGAGACCAGCCTGGTGTACAGAGCAAGTTCTAGGACAGCCAGGGCCACCCAGGGAACCCTGTCTCAGAACATCTCCCCTTCCTCTCAGCACTGTAAAAAGAGAAGAAAGGTCTCTGTGGTCGCTGGAGCTTGCCTTGTCTGGGTTGTAAGTCAAAGGCAAGTAGAGTGCTAGAAAAGACCTCCTCTACCTGTTGCTGTAGCCATCCTACAATTCTTTCACACTTTGGCTTACAACTTACTGTACAGAACATCACACTTTGTAGCTACAGGGATGGCCCACAGGGGTGAGGCCTGGGTGAGTTCCAGGCCTTGTATGTATGTGTTTCTGTAACCAGTGAAGACAGGGAGAATAGTTACTAAAGGTAGCTTGGAAGTTAAAGCATAGTTTATTTCCTTGCTGCTGCTGCTTCTTCCTCTTCCTCTTCCTCTTCCTCTTGAGACAGAGTTTTCTGTACAGCCCTGGCTGCCTCAGAATGCACTTTGTAGCCTGGGCTGACCTTGAACTCAGAGATCCACCTGCCTCTGCCTCCTGAGTACTCAGATTAAAAGCATATACCACCACTGCTCAGCTGTTTGAGCTGACAAAATTTCATGTACCTAGAATGGCCTCTGTCACCAAGAACAAACAGCTTTGGACTCCCGCTCCTCTGCATCTGACTCTGAAGTGTTGGGAGTGTATGGACATTGGCTAGCGTTCTTGTCGTTCTTGCCTTTGACCTTTCACTTTTTGCTTTTGTTATTGTCTTGAGATAGGGTCTTTCTGTGTAGCCCTGGTTGTCCTGACACTAGACAGGCCTCAAGCTCACAAAGATATGCTGCCAGCCTCTACCTCTGTGTTGGGAATATGGGCATATGTTACTTGCCTAGCTTGACCTTTTCACTTTAAAGAAACAGTTACAATGATATTGTTTGATTAGCATTTTCTAAGTACAGTCAAGCTTTGTTTGTTTTCTTTGGGCCGCTTGAAATTAGCTAGGTTAGAACTTGTTTGCTTTGTCTGGGTGCTCTTATTTCTGAATCATTCCTCAGGAGTTGCCTGAAAAGGATTTGGGGAAGCTCTGAACCTCTTTAAGCATCTGAAGACTAATTCACAGCTTTTTTTTTATAGATATATGGAAGTGTGTGGGAGAAACTACACCGGGCGTTTGCCATTTGGAGCGGCTTTGGCATGACCCTGACTGGTGTCCACACTTGTGGAGATTACATGTTTAGTGGCCACACAGTTGTTCTAACTATGCTGAATTTCTTTGTCACAGAATGTAAGTATATCTTTAATGCTTCTATGCAAGTTAGGCAGTTTGTTGCAGAGGAGGAAGTGGGGAGGATGCAAAGTCCTAGGAAGAATAGGTAACTGGGGTGGGGTTATAACTCAGTTAGTGGAGTGCTTGCCTGCCAGGCGTGAAGCCCCAGGTTTGATCTCCAGCACCACGTAAGACCAGGTGTGGTACCACATTCCTGTAAATTCCAGAAGTTCAGGTTCATCCACAGCTACATGTCCAGGTCAAGGCAGCCTGGGCTACATAGGACAGAATTGCAAAAATAGGGGAAGGTGGGCTGTATTGGGGGAGCAAAAGCATACAGCCTACCCTGAGAAGCATGTAGCTAAGAAGCATTGGAAGAAATGTGTTATTAAATGATCCTTCTGTCCTTTTCCTAGATACACCAAGAAGCTGGAATTTCTTGCACACTCTCTCCTGGGTTCTCAACCTCTTTGGAATCTTCTTCATCTTGGCTGCCCATGAACATTATTCCATTGATGTGTTTATTGCCTTTTATATCACAACAAGACTCTTTTTGTATTACCATACTCTGGCCAATACCAGAGCATATCATCAGAGTAGGAGAGCGAGAATTTGGTTTCCTATGTTTTCTTTCTTTGAATGCAATGTTAATGGCACAGTACCTAATGAATATTGTTGGCCATTTTCTAAACCAGCAATAATGAAAAGACTAATTGGATGAAGACTGTATCTCTGTAATGAGTTCGTTGTTAAATATATAGTAGTTATGGAATGAAAATAACTTTGCTTTGTCCCCAGGTTCCTGGATATGTTGCATTTTGGCTTATATATTGACAGGTTTTCCGTTCTGAGCAAGGATATGACTATAAAACTTGAGAAGGAGCAACCAAGACTCCTTACCTAGCTGTTTGAATGGAAAGCTCAATGAGAGATTTTCTGCCCCTTCACTTTAGGAAGACCCAGTATGTGGATGATGTCAGGCCATTAACCTGTGCATGTTGAGTGTTTGCTTACTGAACTCAAGCACATCAGCTTGGGCTGGTTGAAGGATCTTTATTGATTTCCAGTAGGACTCAAGTCAAGAAATACTTTGAAACTGGTTTTTCCCCTTACCAAGTAAGCCATTCTCACTTGTTCATGAACTAATCTCTGTGTCTGTCTGGAAAGTGGCTTACTGGTAGATATGTTTTGCCTTTTGAACCATTTTTAAGAAAAGCATATTGAACACAGCAGCTTTCATGAAAGAAGAGAATGCAAGGGGCCACATGCGAGGTGACACACTGGTCAGGGGTCACTGGCCTACCCACTAATGCAAATATGGGGTCAGCGTTTTCACCACAGGTGCAGCATCAGTTGCAGTTCCTGTTCTGTTTTGAGGCTTCAGTGTGAACAACAGTAAAGATTCATGAGGGAAAATGGCTGTGTTCAGAATAGTAAAGTGGTGTCATTTTAGTGCTGTAAGTATTTGGGATAAATTCTTGTTGTAACTGTTAGTTAGGTAGATGACAGCCCAGTATAATGCCTTTTTAATGACGTGACTTCGTGAGACAAATAAGAGTATGTTACCAGATGTTTTTATGTCAGTAAATGAGTAAATGTGCATGTAAAGAATTCTTTTCTTCTGGGAAAAAAAAAATCAACAGGTTGTAGGCATAGTGTTAACTCTTTGAGGGTTTTTTCTTTCTTTCTTTTTCCTGCAAGTTCTCATTCTTGACCGATGAAAGTAAATAGTCTGAGACACACTTGGACACAAAAAAGCTTGTTGCTTTTTATTTTAAAAAATAATTGTGTACATACATTCTTTTCTATAGTCTTATTTTGGCAGTCAAGAACTAAAATAAAGTAGCTGCTGTTTACATTAGAAAATTACCTTCAGTGATTAATTTTACCTCTCTGATACTGTTTGTTACTTTATTTTTTATTGGTTTTGTACAACAGTTTTAACCTTAGCCTCGTTGTAGAATTGGAAATTGACCTTCAGCTTAAACAATTGGAATACTAATTGTATAGTTTTTACATTCCATTTTAAAACAAGTACTTTGAAGAGGTACAGGCATACTGAGGTCACAATTAGACCATGGCATTTGCTTGTTCCTTCTCTGGGTGAAATGTTCATTTTGTAGTTGGAGTCATAGTCCCACCTCTTGGAAGCTACCTAAGTGAGTTAGGCAGGAAGGGGATATTAGGCAAACAGGGTTCAGCCCGTGCTGAGTGACCACACTTTGAATGTGCTGGGAACATCACTTATTTCTCACCTGAAGAAATGATGTGAAGCAACTCAAGTTTAATTATGTTTTTAAATCGTATACTTCAGAATCTTGCAGTATTTTAAATTGTTGATTCTGTTACAAGCCAGGATCACAAATGCCAATATCTCTTCTAAAGAAATTTCATAATCATGGAAAGAAAGTTTTCCATGCTTATTTGAGTGGTTTGACTTGAGGTCAAGGGATATTACTGCCATCCCTTCTCATCCCCTTCCCCTCCCACACACACACACATAGCAGAACCCAAATTTAGCTAGGGGGCCAGGGAAGACAGTGTTGGCTTTTGGGAAAATGTTCCAAAAACATCTGTGTCAACATTAATTGTGAAATGCTAACTATATTAATGGTAAATGTCTTAACATCAGGCTTCTCTCCTCCATATGGATTCTATCGTAGAACAAAGTAGGAAAATAAGTGCAGCTAGCCTTGCAGAGCTCTTGGTGGTGAGAGTACCTGACAGCAGCCTGCAGTGTGGGTTGAGAGAAAGGTAAGCTAGATGTATAACCTCTCAGCTATTATAAGACAGTGTTTACATGAGCTAATCATCCTCAAGTTTCAAAACTAAAGCAAAATTAATTTTCAGTTTTTGTCTTCGCACCTTTTTTTCTTGTAAAAATCTTAACCATAGTGAGGATAGAATTTATGTTTACATTTTGGGTATGATGTGGCTGGGTGCAGAGGCTCCTCACTTTTGGACCTTGTATTTGATTCTGTGGTCATACAAGGCTTTCATCCTCAACAGCTTAGTATGGAAGCAGGGAAAGGTTTTGAGTTTTGGGGCATGCAAAGTAGGGCTTCTGTGGGAAGTCCTTGATGGATTGTCTATATTCTAGAAACAGTGTCTGTCATTGCCTCCCTATGGTGCTAAACCTAGGGCTGTGTGTCTGCTAGGCAAGTGCTCTACTGTTGAGTGACATCCTCAGCTCTCTGTGTTCTTTACGGGGCAAGACAGAGTGTCTTACTAAAAAATAGTTGAGCCGGTAGGGGGAAAAATGTTTTAAGGAAGATAAGATTGCTCTTATCACCACATACTTTGGCAGAAAAGTTTTTCGTCTGTGTTGCTGTTCCCAGTGAGGCTATCCTCCAGTTCTCTCTGACCAGAATTGCTGTGGCAAAAATACTACTTTTATATGCTGGCTCTATATGTTAATATTCTTCCAGATCAGAAAGCAATGGGCTCCATCTTAGAACTAGCCAATTTAATAAACATGGACTGTAACCAAGAAAAACCCACTGCCAAGAGCATAACATTGACACTGCAAGTGGTGGTCAGCGCTATTCCACCTGCCTGTGTTATGACTGAGAATTCCCAAAAATTTCTAGTAAGTGGAAAACAGAGGCACTAAGTCCTTTGATAGCAGAGAAGGAGTTCTAGGAACATTTGTGCAAACCTTTTTTTTTTTTTTGAGACAGGGTTTCTCAAACTCAGGGATCCACCTGTCTTTGTCTTCCGTGCTGGGATTAAAGGCATGCACCACCACACCCACCTTTGTATAAAAGTTAAGACATGGAAATTCAAATTCATGACAAAAACGTGTCTTAATTTTATTGAGCGAAAAGCAATTTTATCACTGAAAGATTCTGGTCCAAAATGCTTAAGGATGTTTACAATATTTTTAAACTCTGATTTAGTACACTTTAATCTTTTGTGGACAGAAATCCCAGTGAAAGCAGTGATAATACAGTCACATGTCAGCCCTCTAAGGTTGTCAGACTTGAAGGACATGAAAGCTCCTTGAAGTAATTCATTTGCTTTCCTTCCTAAGTGTGAAAGCCACCAAAGCATGGCTGTTCTAATGGCAACTTTGTTAAACAGTTTAGACAGTTGATGTTTGTTAAAAAGTGATTTTAGCCCCAGTTAATCCCTATAGCTCTGCAGCTGGGGATTTGAAGTACCATCAAAGCTCAGGATGCTTCAGGTGACCGATGGGAAGAGAAAGGGTTTTGTTTGTTTCTTCTCTTTGTGAATAGCTTTAAATGACTAAAATTATTATAGAAGTAGGTATTGGTGTGTCTGTCAGTTCAGTGGCACTAATTTCACATAAGTAATGTAATGAATTACTATATCAAGTTCAGTATAAATGTCTGTGAACTCTAAGCTATTTCTCCAGCCACACTAAGTTGCTTTTGAGGATACATTCTACTCTTTGTTAATCAAAGGACTCTTTATTCTGTGTAGTTCCTGTCTTGGCATAAGGAAGCTTTGTGCTTTGACACGAGAAGTAATGTTATGTTATGTTATGTTGTTCATTTCCATTGTTATTTCACATCTCTTTTAATCTGAACTACTGGATTGTCTAAAGAACTAAACAGAGCCTGTTATTAACATCTTTAAAATGTTTAATTTTAGTAATTTTTCATTTGAAGAATTCGTGGACTGTTAGGATAATGAAATAGTTCTAATATGGAACAAAGGAAGTGAAACTGGTACTCAATGGGGAAGTGGTTTGCTTGGACTAAACCAGGCATGTTTAGTTTTGGGAATTCTACCTAAAGGTCTCCCTGTCCACAGAGAAACTAGTGTTACTTGAAGATATGAAAGTTCCTGTGGTAGCCATACCTTGAAGCACAGTGTTGTATATAAGTAAATATCTGATTCTAAATTAAATCCAGATTTAACTAATATATATTATTTTATATCTTTGTTGTATTAAAATGTTTTAAACACTAAAAATAAAACATTTGAAAGTTGATTTGTGGCTTCTTATTTTAATATCTTTACACTATTAATGCAGTTTGTCTTTATTGTTTCAGACAGAATCTTGCTACGTAATGTGGTCTGGTCTCAAACAGGTTTGACTTGCTGTTCTTCTGCATCAGCTTCCTAAGTGTAGCACTGTTGGGCGCAGTGGAGGTTTTTGGTTTTGTTTTACCCATTTAAAAAAAGAGAAAGAGAGAGAAATTTAAATTACAGTTCACAGTACATATGTAGGAGTCAGAAAACAACTCAGAGGAGTTGATCACTATTGTGTCTTAGGGATTGAGCATGTCAGTCACGTTTGGTGGCCTGTGTGTTTTCATACTGAGGCTTCTTACTGGCTGCATAGCAGCTTTAAAGCTGTAGGGTATAAGCTAGCCAAGGTGATACACACCTAAAGTCCCAGCACTCAGGAGGCGGAGGCAGGCAGATCTCTGTGAGTGCGAGGCCAGCCTGGTTTACAGAGCAAGTACCAGGACAGCCAGAGCTACATGGAGAAACTCTTGTCTCAAAAAACAAAAACAACAAACAAAAGTTGTAGGGTGTAATGTGTGGCTTTTACTATCTCTTGGGTAATAATATGCTGAAGGCTGGAGATGTAGTTCACTAGCAGAGCACTTGTCTAGCATATGCAAGGCCCTGGTTTGATCATCAGCACAAAAAGAAAAGACACTTGAAAAATGGAGGTAGGAAGATTAGAGTTCAAAGCCTCCTTCTGCTACATAGCTGCATAGCAAGTTGGAGGTCAGCCAGAGCTTCATGAGACCCGCTCTCCTCCCCATCTTAAACAAGAGTGTACATTTATAATCCCAGCACTTCAGAGGTGACTGTAGGAGGACCAGGAGTTCAGGGCCATCCTCAGCTAGGTATTGGTGTCAAGGGCAGCCTGTACTACATGAGGTCCTTTCTTCTCTCCCCATCTCATTTCAACAGGGTCTCACTGTGTAGTCTCAGTGGCCTAGAGCAACAGAGATCCACTTGCCTCTGCCTCCCAGTGCTGGGATCAAAGGCTATACCACTACTCCCACTGAAACCATTTCTCAAAGCAAAACCTTACTGATTTCCTGAACACATCGGGGCTCTACTACACGCTAAATCTCCAGTACCTAAAGTTTTTTGTTTGGTTGATGTTGGTTTAATTGTAGATTACATGAGAAGATAGCCAGCTATTAGATGTGCTTTGGAAAATAATAGACCTTGAAAAGAAGGTAAAGAGCTGTTCAGAGCCTGGCGGCTTAGAACCATGGCCTAGTTGAAATGCTGAGAATTGTAAGCATATAATTAACCCAGGCCTGAACTTGTCCTCTTGAACCCTACCTCTGGAGTAATAGTCTTGTCTTTCTTGGATACTTTGGGAAAGAACATTCCAGAAGAGACCTAGAGACAGCTTGGTGAAATGGAAAATGTACTGGCTTTAGACTCTAAGGACCTGGTGTAGACTTAGAGTCAGATCCCACCTAAATGCATGTTGAGAGAGGGACGGCCTGCCTCACAGGTTATATGGAGGGATAGATTATGATAGTGTTTGTGACCTTGGTGGCCCAATACCCATAGATAAAAACTAGACTATTTCTTGAATTTAGGAGGGTAAAATAGGGCCTGTGTTGCAGATAATTAATAATCTATCTAAAAAATGATACCAAATGTCTTTTGTTTTTAGTACACAGGGAAAGTGGGAAGGAACTCTGCAGAATAGAAGGGGCTCCAGGGGAAGGTGCCTGTTTATTATTCATGTGCGAATATTAATTTCCCATTTGCCATATGACATGTGGTGGCTGGAGGATGACTTGTGGAATCGGTCATCCTCCTACTTGACATTGGGCTCCTGGGATAAAACTTCGGTTCTCAGGCTTTGCTTTTGTGGCTAGAGCTTTAACTTTACTATGAGCCATTCAGTAGGCTCCTGGACCACATTCTTCAGATGAATCAATATTTTTAATCCTGCTTTAGATACCCTGAAGATGTTTTCATTTAGAGGTGGTGGCTTATATATACATTATCTTTTCTAGTAGGACTTCTTATATTTTAAAAGCTTGATAGAGGGGAAGGAAATATTTGGGAATCACCAAGGCAGCAAACAAACTGGCCCTATCTAGCACTAGTTTAATGAGAGTAAGGGCTTATGCTAAGGAAAAGTTCGGTAAATATGCAGAGCTTAAGTCCCTGAAGGACAAGTCAAAGACTTCACCAAAGGTTTAGAGCAGCAGTTCTCAACTTATAAGCTGTGATCCATAACAGTAACAAAGGTTACAGTTATGAAATAGCAGCGACGTGATTTTATGGTGGGGAGTCAGTACAACATGAGGAACTGTATTAAGGGTCACAGCATTAGAAAGGTTGAGAACCATTGGTTTAGAGGGTAAAAGAAAGAAGATCAGGGCTAACAAGGTGGCTTGGTGGATAAAGGTGCTTGCCAGCAAGCCCGACAGCCTGGTTCTGTCTGAAGGGTCCACCAGGTGGAGGGAGGGAACCAAGACTAGCAAGTTGTCCCTTGCCCTCCACAGGTGTGCCTTGGCATGTGTGTTCCTCCACTAACACACAAATGTGATTTTTAAAAAGCTTTTCAAGATCTAGTTGTATGTAGCAGGAAGCTGTTATCAGGATTTGTATTGAATTACCAGTGGAAGCATGAGGAAGACCCGCTGCTCATAGTAGAACTGTAGGTATAACTGTAAAGCAGTTCTGTAAACAGCATTAGGTAAGGACAGGAGTATAAGTCAAAATGAGAGTTAAAGGCCTGGGTATACCTCAGTGATAAAAATACTTGCCTGAAAAAAAAAAAATCTTGCCTAGTGTATACAAGGCCCCAAGTTCAACCCCTAGCACTACCAAAAGAAAAATAGGATAAAAAGCGTATACAGGAGATCAAATGAGATGAGAGGAGGCCCTACTGTTTGGCAGTGGAAGGAGCTAGGACTGTGCATAGCTTTTAGGAAGGCTTTGACCCAGCAAGGAGGACCAGGGAACCAACAATTAGCTGCCAACTGCTACTGACTAATGTGAATCTAGGATATCTTGGCTCCCAGTCACTCCCAGGAGTGCTAGGCTCCAAAGCATGAAGTGGAGAAATACCTGGCCCTGGAAGATACTAGGAGAGAAGGAAGTGACTTGGAGGAAGCCCAGTTAGGTCCCTCAGCTGTCACTTTGGACAGGACCAGATGACAGCTTTAAGGCCTCTGCTACAGTAGCATGATAGCTCAGCTCAGGGTGCTCCCTCTGTAAATCAGAATAAGAAACCACCTTGATCATTCATATTCTAAACTTAGGAGCCCTGCATGACACTTTGCAAAAAAAAATACCTGAACTTAAGGGATGTGAGATGCAGGTTTCATTAAGAGGGCAAAATGCATGGACTTCGAAAGTGTTCTTCGTGGAGCTTGCCTAGCAGAGACCCAGCTAGAGACTTTTGTGGTAGCAATGTTGCAATTCAAAACATTTCGACACACATCTGGTGTAGAGATTTGATAAGCACAGCTGACCAGGCAAGAGCCTAAATGTTCTTTATCAGTTCTGCTGCCTCTAATTCTTACTATCTTTTTTGGGAAGTTTGTAATTTTAAATCTTGAACATGAAATCCAGTGCTACCAACAGCCTTATACTCTTGCTGCCTAGCCTTTCCTTCCATGATTGGATGGTTATCTACTAGGAGGCCATTTTGTTGTAACAACAAGACCAGCAATTAATACAGGTGCTTTTAGGAAGCGTCTTAAGGATGGATGGCTTTATTCCAGATTAGCTCTCATCAGGATGTGCAGGTACCTCTGATTAGCTTTATAATTCTTAGAGGAATGAGCTGAGACAAAAACTGTAATTAATATTCAATTCGTGTCAGTATTAAAAAACATTTAAAAATCAGCAGGAACTCAGCTAGTATAGAGTGGTGTGTTCCTTTGCATGTGAAAAGTTTATCTGAAGCCTATTTCACTGTGTGACCTTGGCTGCCCTAGAACTAGATAGGCCAGGCTGGCCTTGAACTCACAGAGTTTCGAATGCTTATGCCTCCCAAGTGCTGACATGAAGAAGTGTGCCTACCATGCCCAGCTTGGCTTTGTGAATTTTCAAGCAGAATTTCTGGAGGTAGAGGCAGGTGGATCTCTGTGAGTTTGAAGCCAGCCTGGTCTGCAAAGTGAGTCCAGGACAGCCAAGGCTACACAAAGAAACCCTGTCTTGAAAAACAGCAACAACAATAATAAATAATAATAATAATTTTTCAAGCCAACTTTAAAAGAGGTTGTAGCATCAAGCATACTGGCTCAAATCTGTAATCCCAGTATTTGGGTGGAAGCAGTAAGATCAGGATTCTGTTAAGGGTCGTCCTTGGCTGTTTAGGGAGTTCCATGCCAGCCTGGACTACATAAAATCCTGACTCAAAAGTAAACTTAGAATAAAGTAAAATAGGTTATACCAATTCATTCTTTTCACAAGTAATACGTGAGTTTGCCTGTTAACCCATACCATTGCCAAAGTAATGTATTCTTTCTCAGTTTTGACTATTGGGTGAGCCATAGAATGTTTGTCTGCTTTGAAGTTTGTTTACTTTGTTTTTAAGAACTAGGGGTACTTATGTGTTCTGGGAAGTACTTGACCAGTAAGTCACTTTCAGCCCAAGAATGACATAATTACCTTTCTATAAAAGCAGGCTATGTGTTTTGTTTTTAACTTTTTTTTGTGTGTGTGTGGGGGGGGTGGAGACAAGGTTTCTCTGTGTAGCTCTGGCAGTGCTGGAACTCACTCTAGACCAAGCTGGCCTCAAATTCCGAGATCCACTTGCTTCTGCTCCCTGGGTGCTGGGATTAAAGACATGTGCCACCAATGCCGCCTGGGTGAGAATTTTTTAAATAGTAAAATAAGAAGCAAATGTGGAATGGTTACAACTTCACTGTTACGAAAAACTAATGAATATATTTTTGCCTATCCTACTTTAATAAAAGCTTTGTGGCAAAGCTTTATTTTATTATTGGAGACAGTTTTGCTGTAGAGTTCAGATTGGCCTTG